AAAAAAAAAAAAAAAAAAAAATACTGATCAAACTGAGTAACCTCCTCCTTTTTCGAAGTCGGTTAAAAATAACTTCAATTACTTTCTTTGCGGTTGTTCGAATTACAGCTTTTTTAAAGCACGTCATTCAAAAACTAACCATCTCCATTCTCTACAAAATTCTGCCGCTCGATCAAATTATAAAAACTATATCGTTTGTCCTTTTTTGTATTGAGTGGCAAAAAAAATTGCTGGTAAAACTGAATCAAAGAATGGATAAACTGTGCTCCTTCACATATTTTATATTCTACACATAACTCTTCCAAAGTAGCTATTCACCTTTTAAAAATATTTCTAAAAAAACATATCATCGTTAATAAACTTGAAATTAATTAACCTAGACTTATACCCTCTTATATCATTAGCATATCAAGTCTCCCAATAATCTGATTAATATCTATAACATATCTATTAAATTATTTTTCAGCAAAATTTTAATTTTTATTGTAAAACAATTGAATTTTGTATAATTAATTACTGCTTATGCAACATTGAATTGATACAAAAAATTACTAGTCTTGAAATTTAAAGTTCAAATACTCGGTAGCATTTATTTAATTCAATGTTTGTCATTGTATAAGAATTATATTTTATAAATATTACTACATCATTATTTGTATAATAATATATCTTTATACCTTATTAAAATTGTATATATTGATACAAACTTTTATATTCTTTTTTAATCAAATTTTATTTAATAGATATTATATTCTTTTGTATCAATATTTATATAACTATTCTATTAAATAATAGTGTAATATTTTATTCTTAATTATTTTTAAATTATATCCATACTCATTTATTTTTAAATCTTTGCAAAACATGATTTATTAGCAGTTACTTCTGTCTCTTTATATATTTTCTTTAATGTATCTGGATCAATTAAAAATCGTTGCCACAGAATACTTCTTTCTCGTACAAAACTTACATCTGCTTTCTGTAATAGAATGTTTCATTTACATAAGAAAAGGTATTTATTAAAATATATATATACATATGTCAATAAAATTTTCTACTTTACCAATCGTTCTTTCATTTGATTTCTTATTTTTATTACATCGGCTTGTATCTTTTCTAAATTGTCAGATGCTTCACTGTAACAAGATTCAATTTCATAAGAAATTGGTTTAAACGTATATGTACATCCCTTCTGAACTTCATGTATGTACTGTAGAATTGCTTCATTTTCCCTAAATGTTAGTATTTTAGCATAATATTTTAACATACCATTCAGTGACACCTAATTTTACTTTTACTTAAATAACACTTACAATGCTTCCAATTTGTAAATCTTAGAATTTAAATAATGTTTTAGAATTAATTGCTTTTTTTCTTTATTTTTATCTATGACTTTGTTATATCTATGTAATGCAAAATTTAGTGGACATGTGATATCACCATTACATATCATCGAAACAAAAAATTGATTAAATGAATTATGTTCCTCTGGAGATGATGTCATAGTTTTAGAATAGTCACTTTGTTGTTGTTGCATACTTTCCTATATATACAGAAATAAAAAAATTTTAATTATGAAACATAATAATTAATGGAGTTTATTTTTATTACGTACAATTCTTGTAGATGACAATTTATATTCGGTTTTTAGATAATGGTAAGCATCAATTATAAATTCTGAGACATTTTTCAAACGGTGAAATTGCATTTGCATTAACATGCATAATAAATCTGTGTAAACATGACCATGTTCTCGTGCAACACATAATAAATTTTTATGCTTTTCTAATTGTAGTTTTGTTTTTTCAAGCCTCGTATCAGCATTTTGTTTTAATAGTTTAGTTATTTCTTGCTCTGTAAACTGTTGTACTATTTCTGTCAATTGATGCTCTTGTAACACAGAAACATTTTCTTCTAAGAAATCTCTCTTTTTAATTAATTTTGAAATTTCTGTTCTAATTTTAATATACAATGACATTTATTTTATGTATTTCCAGGAATAATTTATATTTAACCAAGTTGTACATACCTCAATTCATAATGACTTGGTGCTTTTAAATTTCCCAAATTATATATATTTTGTACGTGATTTAACATTGCTATATATGAATCTTTCTGTACTTTAGCTAAAATTTCTTTTACTTTTGCTTTAGTTAAGCTACAAAATGGAATATTCATTACTCAATTAAATAAATAATTAAATAATTAAATTACCTTTTTTTACAAACTAACAGTTCAAGCAATCTTTCATTATCTATGCATTTTTCTTTGCTATTATTAATTAAGGAAACATAATTGGAATCAGTTGTTTCTTTTTCTTCGTGTACATCTTTAAATTGCTGTTCTATGTAAACATTTAAATAATGATTATATAATTCTATTTTCTTAATAAAAAGCTTTAATGGCATCTGAGTCCATAACAGCAATGCACCTTTCTAGAAATACAATATTAATATTAGAATGAATGAGAGAAAATCAATTAAAGTTACTTACATTTTCAGAAGCATCTGTATATACATTTAATAGACATTCAACTTCTTTAAAGAATTTGTGATTATTTTCATCAAATTTTTGCACAATTGCAGAACATTCTTTATATGCCTTGTGTAGTTCAATACATTCTTTATCTAAAAGAGATTCTTCATTTTCCAGATCCTCATCTAATCTCAAATCTAAATTTCTACAATAACATTTTACTTGTGTATAACAACATTGAATAAATTAAAAAAAAAATATATATATGTGTATAATAATAAAGTTACTTTAAATTCTCAATTCCATTTTGCAAGGTATAAATATAAGTTTCATCTTCTTTATACAAATTATTAACTATTTCAAGTTCTGTAAACAATCCGTCTATATCTACAGTATCGAAAGAAGTAGTTTTTAATAAATCAGGACAGCTTGTAGTAAGTTCCTTTAATGCATTATCTAACTCAGTACTTTCTAACCATTCGTTTGTTTCTTGTAGTCTACTTTTTCTAAAATGTACATAAAAATACATGAAAATAAAAAATCAAACAAATTGTATTTATTTTAAATTTATAAAAAAATTTGATGAATTTGTGGAATAATCTTCCCACCATCGATTTTAATTATTTTGAATTATGTTATAAAATTCCACATTTTGAAAATCATTTTCTTATAATGAAACTGTTGTATTCTTTTAGTTTGTGCAGTGTATGAAATCATCGCTCCTACATACAGCAGTGGTCATGAAAATCGTATACTTAAAAAATTGTTAATAATTTTAGTTTTGTAACTTTCAATCATAGTTGTTTTATGTGCTAAATACAAATCTGTAAAATATATTTTGGAATACTCATAGTTTTCGCAAAAAAATGTCTAGTTTTGAAGATAATTTTATAAATTTATAATAATAGTTATTAAAAATGCTGTTTTAATACTGTTAGTCATCTTATCTATAGAGTATGCTTTCAGCATTAGTTGTCATATATTATGATAAATTATTGGGTTTACACGTTATACATAAAATATAATTTTTTACCCTTTCTTTATATTTTCTTTAATAGAAATGTGTCTTCAATTGTATTCTATAAGTAGATCTAATTATGGTTTCAATAAAAGACACTGAAACCATCATACGTTTCTATATAGAAGAATAGTCTACTATCCTTGTCATCACTAGATAGTTGACCACACTAACTATAATTAAAAATTATATTGAATTGAAATAATTTTAAAGCTAAACTGGTATGTGTATGGTTACTGATAGCCATATTGCTCACAAACATAGCAAAGAAATATATATACATATGCTGCCATGAATACTTAGAATTTGTTGTATTGTTCAAGTCATTTTTTTGCTAATATCTCAAAAATAAGCTGTTCAAAATAGCAAATTCTACAACATATTTCACAATTAGTAAAATCGGTGAGTGATTAATTAATCTAGAAATTCACTAAAAGTTATAAAAAATGTTGAAAATATTAAATTAATTATAAAAAACATTTAAACAAATATTATTAGTATAATAAAAATCTCGCTATTTTCGGAGATAAACTGTAAAGTAAGTAAATAATGATAAAAATTTCTTACAGTTGAATATTTTCGTTTGAAACAATATTGAAGTGATACACATTATCACAAAACCATTTCAGAAACGGATGTACTAAATTTTCATTGTATACTTGTTCTAATATTTCTGGTGTTACAATGCTAGAAAGGTCCGAATGCAAGTTTCGAACCTTGTTGTAAAGAATTTGACCGCAGTTGTTCATGTTCAGCTAAAAATTCGATAAAATTATAATAAATAAACAAACTCTAAAAAAAGTTATTCCTATTTAATTATCATTCGTTAAAAATTTAAACAGATTTGAACTTTAAAAAACTTTTGACGTCTGCGCATTCACTCTGTACTTCGTTCACCGTGGAAAAATGCTAGGCAGTCGGTGGTGGCCAGTCGGCAGTCGGCTTACTGCGCATGCGCTAGAACTGCCCAACACTGCCATCTTAGCGTTGCAGCTTTTTTTAAAAAATATTAATTAGCAGTATCGCGAATAATAATAATAATGGTAACTTGTTACAAGTTTATTGTAAGGGTCTCTAATGATCATTTATAAAGCATCTCTGATAAATTCAAGTTATAACAAACAAATGCTGTATTAAACAAGGTTTTAAAACGAATTAGCGTCTCAGAAGATACACTGTGGATATGTTGAAATGAACAAAATCGTACTATAAATTACAAATGCGATTAAAAGTCATAAAAATTGCAGTTTTCTGCTTATAACTGTAATAAATCTGAATGTTTCCATATTTCAATATACGTAATTTATTTACGCATTGACCGGTTTATAATTACTATTAAGTGAAAAAATTATAAAAAATAACTTCAATTACTTTCTTTGCGGTTGTTCGAATTACAGCTTTTTTAAAGCACGTCATTCAAAAACTAACCATCTCCATTCTCTACAAAATTCTGCCGCTCGATCAAATTATAAAAACTATATCGTTTGTCCTTTTTTGTATTGAGTGGCAAAAAAAATTGCTGGTAAAACTGAATCAAAGAATGGATAAACTGTGCTCCTTCACATATTTTATATTCTACACATAACTCTTCCAAAGTAGCTATTCACCTTTTAAAAATATTTCTAAAAAAACATATCATCGTTAATAAACTTGAAATTAATTAACCTAGACTTATACCCTCTTATATCATTAGCATATCAAGTCTCCCAATAATCTGATTAATATCTATAACATATCTATTAAATTATTTTTCAGCAAAATTTTAATTTTTATTGCAAAACAATTGAATTTTGTGTAATCAATTACTGCTTATGCAACATTGATCATTTTGCGCTTGGCGGAGGAGATCTTCGGGTGATGCGGACCGATGCCCCTTCCTTGCTGGATCCTGGATCCTCCCTCAGGATCATCCCTTGTCCAATGGTGGAGGAGTCCACCCCGTCCAATGTAGGCCCCTTCTCGGCCCCTTCTCCTGGCTGTGGTCCACCCTCAGCCGCGTGGTGGTGGAGGCACTCCGCCAAGACGCGGGAACGTAACAGAGCACATGTGCTTAGAGAAAACATGAGACCTAGAGAAAACGGAAAACAACAAATCCTTGTACTAGCTGTCACAGACGCTGATAATGCGGATTCCTCAAACGCGGGGAATCAGCATATTAGGAATATACAAAACGCGCAGCGGCGCGATAATAATAATATACGCGAAACGAACTGTTCACCGATTATTTACTGACCAGTGGTAGTTAAGTATTTGTGTTTAGGAGTGTTTACCCAAAATTTATTTGTATAACTGTGAATAAAAAAAAGTAGTATTTGTCGTTGACGAACTATCAACGGCAAATCATTTCTTTTTTAAAAAAGTGTTCTTTATTGAGGACGTGACATAGCGAAAATTCAACCCTCGAGAAATTGACGACGGGAATATTTGTAGAAGATTTCGAAGCTTTCAAGAACCGTACGTGAGTTAGTCGAAAACAGCGAATTTGATACGGTCCCTAATAAATTAATCCTTAAAGAATTTCGAAGTGAAGCTATGTTTATTCTCTAGATTCCCAAACTTTTCCTAGCATAAATACCCACGTTGAGTGGCTTTAACAATATAAGTTTTGTCTATTGTACATGAACGAACACTCAGATGGTTTGACTTTTGCTCCTAATTTTTGACCATTGATATAACAAAATAAAAGGCGTGCTGCAAATATTCCCACGGCCTGGTCGCCATACTACATTAACTATATTCAGGATGGTAACAATATACGTTACACGTTATACAGACATATTGTTACTAGACCAAAGAATTGCCTACTCTTTGCCTCTGACCAGTAATGAGATATTGTCTGGGTTTTTTCGCGCATGAGCGGCAATTTTAGTCTCAGTAAAATACAAGTTTCAATAAAATGGGGTACCTTAATCACCCTCCATTATTTTTAAAAAATTCTTATAATTTAGTTGTGAAATATGAATGTATAGATTGGGTGTAGCGTGCCGAATGTATCGCTACTACGTCACGATAAAAATTGATGTTAAAAAAAAATATCGCAACGCGATTTGCTTCTAACACTTAATATTAAAAGCAAGGTTTCAAGTTCTCCCGACTGTTGGAGGTTTGTAATGTTTGCAACGATTGAAGAGCGAATCGGTGAGATGTTTCTCTCAATAATGCGTAAGTGAATCTGACGACTCGCTGTCGTCTTGACTCCCACGTTGACGATGGAGTCAGAGGTCGTACGCTGATTGGTTTTTCGCCTTTTTTAGGAAATTTCAATCAGCGTATCCTTTGGGATTGGGCCCACCCTTCATAGCTCCCTTAGAGCGTCTTCGTCTAGGAAGGGTGGGGAATCCGGTGAGTTGGCGGGAGGACCCCGAACGTCCGGCAATGCCGCGATTTTTTCTTCTAGGTACATTTGGCGACCATAAGTTTCCATTAAGTCCGTGCGTGACCGTTTCTAAAGTACCCTTCGGAAAAAACCGTGTTTATGATCGGAAAGTGACCGTTGAGGATGAAGCGAAAATTAACTCTAAATTTATGGCAAGACATGTAGTAAAATTAACAACTAGAAAAAACCCGAAATATTCTAACTCAAAAACGGCTGCCTAACGGACCGATCATAAATAAACTTTCGAAATCCTCACCCAGATGTACCGTCGTACGGAACAACATTGGGTAAGATTAGATTATATTCATATACTATATCATTCACTAAAAGGGTATTAAAATAACTTTAAGCAAAATATATAATATAAAAGTAAAGTATTTTATTTGACAGAATCAATAAAAAAGTACCAACATTTGTTGCTAGGGTAAGAAAAATTGCTAAAACCTTATCAGTATTTTATCCTGGTCTCGCTTTCATAACGACTGCTTTTTCGCTGCTTTCCCGCCAACAACACTACGCCATCTAGTGGCGCTGCTAAATAAATACGCTCCTGCATTAATATCTCATCACTGCCTCTGACGTTTATTATTCTATCTCTGTCTGATAAGTAGTCAAAAGGAAAAGATCTTTATGTTGCGTATAAAATAAGCAAGTAAAGGAACATAAATGTCCACTTTAATCACTATCTTTGACTAAAAACGCTTTCTACATATAATACGTCTATGGTTTTAATTAGATACATTTGTATATGAGGTATTGTTGCTATTTTCGCTAGTTTATTTCAAGGTTAGACCTTCCTCGAATGATCCTGCATAATGATATATTTACAATTATTGCATATGTAACTTTGAAGTTAAATCGATGCATAATTTTGTAAGCATAAAAATAATAAGGGAATGATGGATAAAATTTTGACCAATATGTTATGCATAACTCGACGTTTAACATGTAGATCCTGTGTAACATTTCAACCTTTAAAGTAAGCTGACAAAATTTGATGTAACTCTATATAAAATACAACCAAGTAAATATAAATGCGTTTATTCTATACAAAGTTTAATTATAATATTATTATATTACAGAAAAATAAACAATTATACCTTACGTATGTATACAAATTATAATAATCGCTTGCAAAGACCATGTTTTTCTACTTCCATACCAAACTTTAATGTTATACAAAAACGTCAAATGTTTATTCAAACACAAGATACACCAAATCCCAATAGTTTAAAGTTTATACCCGGTGTTGAAGTGCTTCAGCCAGGTCAAACTAAAGATTTTCCGCATGTTTCTGATGCATACTGTTCACCTCTTGCAAAAATGATATTTCGTATTGAAGGTGTTAAATCTGTATTTTTTGGACCTGACTTTATTACAGTAACAAAAATAGATGAAGATGTTGAATGGAAATTATTGAAACCAGAAATATTTGCAGTTATTATGGATTTTTTTGCATCTGGTTTACCTGTTTTAAATGATGACCAGCCTGCAACAATTGCTCGTTAAGTTCTTTCTATTTGACTAATTTTTGTATAATTTTTTTTTTAGATAGCATTATAATTAAATATACAACTATTACATATTAAATATTTGTACATCATTTTTTATTTTTTATAGACAGTGATGATGACAGCGAAATAGTACAAATGATAAAAGAATTATTAGACACGCGCATACGACCAACGGTACAGGAAGATGGAGGTGATATTGTATTCATGGTACGTTTATTATGTCGAAATCAGTTATTAAACCAATACATTTATATTAATTAATTTTGCATACATCTAATTCTAGGGTTTCGAAGAAGGTATAGTAAAATTAAAAATGCAAGGTTCTTGTACAAGTTGTCCGAGTTCTGTGGTTACTTTAAGAAATGGAGTCCAAAACATGATGCAATTTTACATCCCAGAAGTTCTTGGAGTAGTGCAAGTAGAAGATGAAACTGATCAAATAGCTAAGAAAGAATTTGAAAAATTTGAAGAAAAAATTAAAAAGTCTGAAAATAATGAAAACAAATAGATCTAATTATATAGCAAAAATCTTTATGTAAATAAATAAATACAATTTCACTCTTTTTTTTTTTATTATTTCACTTTTATACAAAGTACTTAATGGCTAGATACAGAAACCTGCCAAACGCGAATAGTATTGTCAGAATACCCAGCAAACAGTGTTTGTCCATCAGTAGACCACGCTAAAGATAAACAATGAGGAGGTTCTGCTTTACTTGTCGCAGATACTACTTCAGGTTTTAATTCCTCAACCATTTCTTTGGTTTCAAGATCCCATATCTTGATCCATGGTCCAAATGCAGCACACAGCCAGTAGCGATTAGGACTAAAGCACAAAGCTGTTATGATATCATTATGATCTAGAGTATGCAGATGTTTTCCATCATTTAAATCCCACAGCATAGCTTTGCAATCCTAAATTTTAACAAAAATTTGTTAATTGTTTGTATATGGTTAATTTGTTTGTAAATAATAGAAATTTTTCTAACATATACCTTGCCACCAGAAGCACAAAGCGAACCATCAGGAGACACTGTAACTGTATTGAGATATCCAGTGTGCCCACTGTGGTTGATCTTTAGTTTACAGTTGGTTAAATTCCATACCTATAAAATATTTTGTAATTTAAACTAAAAGTAACTACAAATTTTAGTCAATATTCCACAAATTTGAAAATCAGTCCCATATCCGCAAACAATCACAAATATCATGTTAAATAAAAGTATTCATCATATTATCATTATAAAAGAAAGATGTTTTCATAAAGTAATTAATTTACCTTAACTAATTTATCCCAACCTGCAGAAACAATGATGGGATTTGAATGATTTGGAGAAAAACGCACACAGCTAACCCAATCTGTATGTCCATCTTCTTGAATAGTGTACTTGCACTCTGCTAAGGTATTCCACAGTTTAATTGTCTTGTCTCGCGAACCAGAGACAATTTGACGATTATCCACAGAGAAGGCAACACTTAAAACATCCTGTCAACATATAGTTATTCAATTTGTTTAATGCAAGGTTAATATGAATTATTTTATTTAAAACATGTGCATATACCAGATGCGATCAATACTTACAATATCGTAGACTTATTTGCCCACCTCTTCTATTTATTAAAGATAAAAAAAAATATATAAAAAAAAGCTTCCGTATATATCCCATCACTCACGTAGTTTTATCTTCTGCCCATGGCATTCAAAAAAAAAAGTGAAAAAAAAAAGCTTCCATATATTTCATGAAGAATGGCGACTGTAGATCAGAAGGAAGATGTCACACCTTGGTATGGTCTTCAAATCTTCTTGTGGTACGTCCTGCAGCCAAATCCCACAGACGAAGAGTTTTGTCCCATGAACCAGACAGAGCATAATTTCCATCGGATGACAGAACTACATCACTAATATAGTGAGAGTGACCGTACAAACGCTTTTGCGGAATTCCATAATTGGCTTCATCACGTGTTAATTTCCATACTATTAGAGTCTTATCTATAAAAAATCATATATAAAATTATGGAATTAATGTATAATTACTTTTTGATTTATTGTGTTAAACGGAACGACATAAAATACATCAAATATGGTATATACTTTTATCGTTTTAGCAAACAGTAAACAAATGCAGATGAGATAGTATACGACTAATTAAAACATTAAGTAAAACACAAAAGCTATTCTTAAAAAATATAAAGGATTTATATGAATGAGAAAAAAGCTTTACAGCATGTTATATAAGATTATTATTTTCAGAGACAAAATATAAAAAATATGATTGCGTTACTGCACTTACCACGTGAGGAAGACAATATCATATCCGGATATTTTGGATTTGTAGCAATTTGGGTGACCCATCCATTATGCCCCCGAAGTGTTCCCCTCAATTGAAGAGTTTCAGTCATATTTAAATGGTATTAAAGGTTTCTACGTTGTGGATTAAAATGGATATTAATTTGCGATCCACATCCAACAAAGCATCGAACGAAAAGAACCACCTTTCCACGCTTCACAAGTAATATGAACAGTCACGATTCATGTAGTTACAGATATGCGACATATATATAAGAAAGAACTAAAACGACAAGTTATCGTGCGTCCTGTGCATGTAACTCGGTTTAAGTTCTCTATAATCTATGGTAATGCGCACGCGCTCTTATGACGATAATGCAGTGCATTTCTTTTATTGTCTTTTTCCTCGATATCACTTGTTGTTACTGGATTTCTATAAATGCCCCACCGGGGCATTTCGTATGAATATGAAAATAGAAAGAGCATTACTTTTGTGGTTACAAATTTCCATACAATTAAAATGTATAATTTAAATAACAATATATGCATGTATGTGTATTTGGATATGTGTATGCATAAGTTATCAAAAGAGTTGCATTTATCATCATATATGTTTTTGATATATTTTAAGTTGGTTTTCTTTTATATATACAGTTTTATAATTATAAATCTAAAGATGATTAGTGGTAGTATATATAGTAAAGAATAGAAAGTTATGAGAATTTTATAAGGAATAAATTATATGGAAGTGAAACTTTTGAAAATGGCGCCAATTTGCATTTAAGGATGTACTTTGATTTGGGCCATGTAGGTTTTGTATAATCTAAACGCCATCTTCTGTTAAAAAGGAATAAATAAAAAATTGAACTAAACTGAACCGAGGCTGTCACCTATGCAAATTAAATTCAGTCTCTCGTAAAATAAAATATACGATATTGTTATGCTATCATGTAAATTGTACTTTATAATAACTACGGCGTGAAGTTAGCCTAAGGGTATACCTCAGTGAGTTTAGTGACAATGTGGTGATCATAACGTAAGATCGAGAATGGGGGCCTCTGGTGGGGGACATGAGAAGCTCTAGACAAGGATAGATAGATCCTTGTCTCTCCAACGTATCTTTCTTTTCACGAAACGAGGCAAAATTCGTTTTCTGGCATACTACGGCGAAACAATGATGCCGTAGCAAGGTTGGTGGGCGCCCGAGGCATCGATTTTTAAAAATTTTTTATGTGCGGATGTATGCACATGTAATTTTTTGTTGTAATTTTAGGGAAATAAAGGAATATAGTGTTAATAATCGTTAATAGTTGTTAATTTGTTCTATCAGAAAATTAGTCATTCTTTCACGTACATCTAATATAAATTTGGCTGCGATTGACGTTCGGCGCAGTATTTATGAATAATTTGTTTGTTATTTAGTCTGAAATCATATATACTAAACTGGTTCGAAGAAGATACCGTATCGCATGAAATATAAGGTTTATACATTTGGCGCATTACCGCTGCGCGTTCCTCGGAAGAAATAACGCAGATATAAGAGAAGAATCGATTACTACTATGAGACGAAATAGACTACGTTTCCATCGAGGGTTCAAATCGGGTCAGAGTCGGGTTAGAGTCGGGTTGGGGTGAACGCTTTTACGGTGGAAACACCAAAGGTTTAGTTGAACTCTACCCTACAAAATTTTAGGGTAGCGTTCAATTG